TCTTCATTGCTTGACAATAGCTGCTGCTAAATAGTTGGTCTTAAGAGACTGAAAAATGTGTCCTGAAATGCAGATTCCATCCTCCATTCTATGTTGTCTTTCACTTTTTATGCATAAGCCAGGAGCAGAACGCACAGTGCAAATAATTACTCAAAAGAGGCTTGCTTATTATGTGGCTGGCTTCCACCGATCCACCACCATCCACAACTCAACTACATTATTGTAAAACCTACACCTTTAAGAACTTTCCAGAATGTTCCGAAACAGGCTTGCCTACATGAAAATCCTTACACATCGTCCCCCATTTCAGGTGTTGACAAATGCTTCAGTCCCCACGTAAAACCTCAAACGGTTTTTCCCAAATAATAAATTTATATATAGCGTGTGAACATCTGAGAACATTCATAGAGTAGCCCTGTTTGCAAGAGTCGAAATGTGTATTTGCAGGGAGTCTGGAGAGAGAGGCTATGAGCTGCTTTTGCATTCCTCCGGTTGTGATTGGTCCAAGCATCCATTGTACTTGAGATTCATGTGTGCCAGCTGTCAGTGAGCTTGCCAGGAGATATTATAGCAGCCAGAAGCAAAGCCCAATTTGGCACTGCACAGCTCATATGGTTTTTTTCCCCCAGCCAACACTGGAGACATAAGGAGAAACTATAAGTAACTATGAAGGTGTAATATTACAGTTTTCCAAAGCTGTAAGGTTCAACATCCCAGGACAAACAAACAAACAAACAGTTGCTGAAGGATTGCATACTGGAATAGACATACATTCATAGCAGTGCATAACACATGTGGAACCCAATTCAATTTGGTTATTCCTTGGCCTTTTTAAAACGCAGCACTGAACACTACAGTTTGATGCATGCTCACCGTCGAGATGAGTGTCAATTACTGTATATACATAGTCCTTAAAGGATTTATCATACTGCATACTTCCTCCTATTTGACACTGCTACACATCTTGTTTTATTTTGTGTATATCTCTTTACTCATTTGAATTCTGCCACTTTGGTTAAGGTACTTTTTATGAGTAATTCATGCTTCATAGCATTGCATTTACATTATTTTTTACCTTCTGTGACAAGGTTTTTATACACAGAAACCAAGCTCTGGCAAGAATGGCCTGTCAAGAATACTAACAGCTTGATAGCTAAATCTTTCTCTCGGGAAAATGATTCATTCAGACAATATAGTCAGGCCCCTTTGGAGAAATATGGAGCAAATGGCAAGCCAGTTTGGTCTACAACCAAGAAAGATTCTGTGCTGATGGCAGTTGTCACCCAGAAGAGACCGTGATACTACTTATAAAATAAACACACCCTCACAAAGGCACCAAATGTAACCTTTTCCACTATTGTTCCAACTACCAGCATAGGTTAATGTCTTTGATTGCTTGCAGGCAAATATTTGACAAAGAATTATATGTATCTTTATAAGTGTGTACATTATATTTATTTATTCTAGTACTTTTAGGTAGCCGTATAGGACAAAGCATTCCTAAGGTGGCTTCTGTAAAACATTAGAACACAACAACAACATATATGTGATACACCTATTTTGCTATCTCTTTACATCTTTCAAAAAACTACACACCTTTAAAACAACTGTATCATCCAAGAAGAGTAACAGCAACAATAGCAACACACCATTAAAATCAGTTTAAGCACATAAAACATTTTTAGCATATCTTTAAGAGAAAGCAACGAAAACCTGTTGAAATACCTGTATTGTTTCTGAGCCATCTTCAAAAGTGGCCTCATAAAACCTGAATGTCCAGCAGCTAGCCTGGATGTCAGTTGTTCATGAGTAACCAAGACTAGATCTGCTCTCGGCTAGACAGGTCATAGCTGGCATGCCAACCAAAGCTAGGGGGAATGACCAAGCTGTGACTTGGCCCTTCAGGGGAAGTGCAACCCTGTCCAAGACCAGTTGCAAACCTCCATCCAGATTAGTCAGGTTTCCCGCCCACTGCATCTCTATCTTGTCTCAATTAAGCCTCAGCTTGTTCACCCTCATCCATCCCCAAACCGCCTCCAGAAAGCAGTTCAAGAGTTCAACAGACTCCCAGGAATGAGTGGGTGAAAACAAGAGGTAGAGATATGAGTCACCCACATATTGATGACACTGCAGCCCAAAGACAGGATTATATATATTGTATATATATACAACACAGATGTTTAAACTGGTTCTATAACTGCAGATAAATTGTAAGAGACAAAACTCTTAGCAAAACCCACAGTAGCTACAGTCTCCCTGGTCCAAAATGTTCTAATTCAAAATGAGAATATCTCTACACTGCAAGAGAAATTCATATCCAACTTTCCTGGCCTCCAGTTGAACCCCGTGAATCAGATGATGGAACAAAACATGCCACAGCATATGGGAGCGGGGAGTGTTTCTTTGAACTCTTCCTTTGCATTTTTTACCAACCTAAACCAAAGTCTTCAGGACCTACCGTAATTATTCCAAAGGGATATTTACTTGTTGTTCAGCAGCAAAAGCTTCAGCAGAAAAGAGGCTACTGTTTCTCTACCCTCTTCCCACCAGAAAAAAGAAAAGAAAAGTGAGAGTCTCACAGAGGTGAAAAAACTCACTGAACGCGGACAGCTGTAACAAAAATTTACTTGGCTCTGAGATATTTTCAATCAAGGTTCTTTATTGAGGGACTCTGAAGAGACTCGCAACAAAGGACCGATGCTCATACATCAAGAGGTATTCTGTTGAGAAAGCGGTATATAGATTTTGCTTAAATAAATAAATAAGCAATGCCCTTTTTCAAATGAGCAACATTATGTAGAATTCTTAATATGGCCATAATAAAGATTAGACTAGATTGTTGTCCTCTTTGGTTTATATTAAAATTGCACTGAGAGGTGTGCTAATTTAATAGTCTGCATAGATAACTTTTTAAAAAAATGTGCTAAGGGTATGTGCTGCAGAATAAGGGCCAGAGCTTATGTGGTATGTAATAAACATCATCACAGTATAATTGATTTAAGCAACCCAGGGACTTTGAGAAGAAAAATAAGATTATCTTTTAAATTATAAATAGTCCACTAATTACCTCTGGCTTTAGATTATCTTTATACAAAACTCATAAAGAGACTGTGATATTTCCCTCGTCTGCAAGAAATCAAAGTGGCCCATGCAACAATTTGCAAGGAAATTATATACTTAAGGTAGAACCAGCCGTCCTACCCAAAGGGATCTGTTAATAATTATGCAAATTCTCTCACCTCAGTATGCACATATTTGCGTAAAATATGTCTTGCTGCTATGCATATGATAACGTTTAATGCAGAACAGTTTAAGCAATATAATAAAATGGTAAAGCTTAATGATTCTGAACGTATAACTCAATGACCAAATATAATGGCTTGTATCAATGCAATAGTAAATTCCTATACCCTCTAAAGAGCTGTCAGCTTAATTTGTTTATTTCACACAGTTGATAACTTGCTTGCAATCCTGGCTAACTAGATTTCAAATGGATAGCTGCCTACAGCAATTATTTTAATAAAAGCTGAACATCTTGAGGCAGGGGAAACAATTAAGAGGGTGCTTGTTGGTCTCCCCATATTTCAATCACTCTAAATTCCTCACTTTGTCCCACAAAAACATGCTCTGCTTCAGTAATTTTGCCCTGCTTGTGATGGCGGACAACAACTAAACCGGAGAATGAAACTGTTGTTTTAATAAAGGCATTCAGGGATGTCTTCTCTTTCCTCAGTTCCACAGCATTTAGGCATGCGCCAGACCATTAGCGCACTTAGCTCAGTGTCGTCTACCCTGATTGGCAATGCCTCTCAAGGATTTCACACAGGAGTCTTCCCCAACTCCGCCCAGAGATGTCAGAGGTTGAATCTGGGACCCTGCACTTGCAATGGATGTGCTATGTCACCGAGCCCATCCCTTCCTCTTCTGTATGCTGTTGCAAGGAACACAGCAGTCAGAATGGCAGAGAAGTGCAAAAGAAGAATGAGTGAAAATGCAAGGGGTATACAGTAAAATGTATGCAGGATTAGCAGAGTGCCACCTGGAATAGAACCAGAAATCCTTACTGCCCCTTGCAGCTGCCCCATGTGGAGAGACACTAGATCTGTGGTTAGTGCAGTATTCTCAGGATTCAAACTGAGCTGACCTTTGGACTTTCCTAGACAAGGTTTCCTGGGCTGAGCAAAGCCAAGCAATACATTCCAGCTTGATCCAGCCAAAGCGAAGAATGTGCTTTGGATTTCAGTGTGTAGGGTATGGACCATTCTTCAACTCTCAGTTAAAAGGGCTTAACTTGATATGAATTGTATTCACCCGCACTTATAGTTTTATCTTGGGGAACATGACCAAGTTATCTCAGTGACAAGGAGGACTGCATAAAGGTAAGCGGGTGTTTGCTTGGGGTGTCATACGAACAAGCGCAACTTGCAATTAGACCCACGCATAGGTGATGCCTACAAAAGAGTGACGCTTTTTCCTCAGTAACTGGTGCCTGGGAGTGGGGAATGACAGTGGGGTGTTAAGAGGACAGGCCTAGATACACTACGTGGCCAGCCCTTCATCCCGTACGCTAGGATGAAATAAGTGTTGCAAGTGTTGCAGTAAGATTCAACTGCCGGTCTACTTGGCTTCTGCACATGTGCACCATCTGGTCCATTGTCTCCGGCAGCCAAGCTTGTGTTGGGCCAGCTCTGACAGCCCCACTGCAAAGCTGCTGAAAGCGGGTTGACCAGGGTGGTGGTCAATGTGGACTGAACTACAAGGGTTGCTTGTGGTGAAACACAACTTCCAAGCCCAGCTCAGCTAGCAATACATTCAGTCCACATTTTCAGCTCACCAACTTGAATTGTGAACAAGCCCTCAACCGCCATTTTAGCTTAGACAGCAGGAAACATCGCTCCCCAGGAGTCATCAGTTCAGCTTCAAACTCCAAAGCAAAAATGTGGCTAGTAAGCACTCGCTGTGGTTTCATGCAGCATTGTATTGAAGAGCCTTAAATCTGTCTTGTATGCAGCTTTTGGACTTTAGAGCAGATCTAAAGCAGCTAGATTCAGGAAGATCTGGCAACATATCAGCATGCAAAACCGTGTACATTTTAGGGTTAAAAAACTGAACTAATTTCTGTAGGATCTCTTTTCGGTAAATTATTCAGCACCATTTAAAACTGCTCAACTGCCAGATTGTACAATCCCCAATGTAACTTTTTGTTAGAAAACAAATGTTTAAAGACAAGCTTGGCTGCAGAAAGTGCTAATGAACTTGCATCTGGTTGGGAGAGGCGTAGCAGCAGGAGCAGAGGGCAGAGGAGATAACGAAACCCTTAACAAGGGAGGCATCAAGTCATAAAAACAGCAACACTTATAAATGACTTCTTTGTTAGCCACAGTGCTGCAGCCCCATCATCTGCGTAGCTGGAGCAAAATGTTGCTGAGAAGGTTGTAATCAGGCTGTTACAGACTGTTTTCACAGCTCTTCATAGGACTAAAACAGCAACTGGAGAATCAGGTTCTGGCATCAGATCTTAGCCTAAAAATTTACAAACACCCGATGCAACTGTGATGTGAAATAACAAGTACCTGCATGTGTGAGGATGAAGAAACAATTTATGGATAACATCCCTGCCACTGTCCTAAGTTCTGAGACTTTCACACTGTTCTACCCTATGTATTCTCATTAGCCATCCCATTCCCTAGACAGCGGTATGGTGTGGGGGAGAGAAGCTTGAAGCTTATGCTGCCCCCTCACCCCACAAACAGATTTCCTCATTATTTCCAGAGGGACAGCTATCTTTGTCTCTTGCAGCAAAAGTGGAAGAGTCTTGTGGCATCTTAAAGAGGAGCAAATTGGTTACCTCATACATTTTTCTGGATCGCTTTATCAGATGCATGGTGCTGTCCTCAGTTGCAGGTAATTGTACCTGTGGTGTGTGTGCATATCTATATGTAGGGGGGGAGGTTGTAAGCAGAGAAGTCAGAAGGAGATGAAAGCCAGAAAAATAAGGACAGTGATAATTACCATACCTTAGTAACAGTAGCTATTTACAAAAAGAACAACCACAAAAAACATTTTACAATAGAGACATCCTGGAATTGTAAGCCAATTGACACATGTAGTGTGATCAAAATCCATTGTGGAGATTCAATCTGCAGCTGATGGTGCTGAACCTCTTGATGTATTGTAATTCAGCAGCTTCCCTGCTGCTGTCTCCCTTTGAAGATCTTTTGTTCAAAGAGGGCCATCTTAAGATTAGTTACAGAGTGTGTGCTGGCAGGCTGAAATGTTTCCCCACTGGCTTTCCATTTCTGAAGACACATTTGTTGCCTCCTCCTTCTGGATATCTGCATTTTACAAAAACAGGCCAAAGGGCATTGTTGGCAAATAATTGCTTACATGTCATCCTTAGATGCTGTGGAGGACGTTATCAGGTCCTGTAATAGTGCTGTCAGGGCAGCTTTCTGGGCAGAGCTGGCATCCGGGTCCATAACTCTCTTGAGTGTCATGTTGTCGATGGTAAATAGCAGGTTTAGGTTAAGAGGCTGTTTGTTGGTAAGTTTTACCCTCTTTCGATTTTTAATTGGATTTTTAAAATGGTTTGTGCTGTGTATTTTCCACCTTGGATAAAGGGCAGGTAAGAAAAATTATGAATGAATGAATGCAGGTCTGGCATCCAAGGCCTGTTAAAAGGAAATGTCATTGTCCAGGACAGACTGTAAATCATTGATGGTACAGCTAAGTGGTCTTAACCGTTGACTGTAAATTACAAGTGGTGGTCATTTTCTCTTCTAGGTCTGTTCTGCAGAAGATTGTTCCTGGGTACCAATCTGACCTTGCTGGCCTGTTTTTTTCACTTTGTTTGGTGGGCACTGTAGATTTCATCACAGGTAATCTATAACACAGTTGTCACAATCTAATGATAAGGAGTTCACATGAAGCATGTATACAGACAGTTAGAACCATAAAATGTGTACAGTCTTCTGTTTACTGTGTACCATACTGTTAAAATTCTTTATGGAAAAAATACTAATATTTTATGATTTTTATGATTTGTTTGTTGCTGAATTAAATTTTATTCTGAAAAGTCATGCAAGGTGAAACTTTTTTTCTAGTGCATATATTGTAATCCCTTACACACAGCTTGCTCTTTAATTAAACAATTAAAAACAATTTTGAACGCAGAAACAAAACTGAATCCAATATAGGCACAGACTGGGATAAAGATCTCCACTTAAAAGGCTTGTTGGAAAACAATGGACTTCAATTGGTGAAGAAAAGACAATAGAGATGGTGCCTGTCTGATATGTAACTAGGTAAAAAGGTAAAGGGACCCCCTGACTGTTAGGTCCAGTCGCGGACGACTCTGGGGTTACGGCGCTCATCTCGCTTTACTGGCTGAGGGAGCCGGTGTTTGTCCACAGACAGCTTCCGGGTCATGTGGCCAGCATGACCAAGCCGCTTCTGGTGAACCAGAGCAGCGCATAGAAACACCGTTGACCTTCCCACCGGGAAACACACTTTTTGGCATGCTTTCGAACTGTTTGGTTGGTAGGAGCAGGGACTGAACAACAGGAGCTCACCCCGTCACAGGGAATCAAACTGCCGACCTTCTAATCGGCAAGCCCAAGAGGCTCAGTGGTTTAGACCACAGCGCCACCCGCGTCCCTAGACTAACTAGAGGGAGCTCCAAAGGGAAGGTGCCACTACACTAAAGGCTCAATTCCAGTATCTTGCAGAACAGACCTCTTGATGAAATGATATGTGCAGTAGGCCCTCTCCTATGGAGAACAGTGATGGTATCCTTTGATAATCCATGGCACATCCTATATCCTCAAACTACAGATTGATGCCATCTTTGCTAGCTAAAATTATGCCATGTTTAAGATACTCTCTAACATCTCACTCTAACCTCTTTCCAAGCTCTTACTCTTGTAAAAATGTTATAAAAAGAAATATTTATTATTTTGAACAAACTAATACTGAGTTATGTTTAAATCTGAGGGAAGGAAACATTGCCATCTAAATATAATATGTTATGCAAAATGATGGCAAAGCCACAAATATTCAAAACTTGGACCTTGAATCTTTTTGCTTCCTTAAAAAGAAAATGCTTCAGAGCTGAAGGGGATAAATTGGCACAGGTTTTTGAGCAAGACTGCAGGGAATATTAATAACAAAACATGTAATTAATAGGACTACTATAAATTAAGTTATCCCCCATCAAATGTCTTAGCAAAAACACATGCATAAAAACAATACACCTCGGCCACATTTTAAAATGGCTGAGCTCTAATGTACGCAGCCAGCTACATCTGTTATTTTTGTGCCATGTTCCAATCCGTACTGGTGATAAAAGACTGTACAAGACGTAGTAAATTACTGTCTTTTTGATAGGAAACACAGATCCAAAATACCAGTCTGCCAAGGAACAAAAGCTCTATAGAATCTAAGGAACTATTTTGTAAGCACTTCAACCATATGCAGATAAAGTACCTGAACAAAAATGATAGGAGCACATCAAACTCTAGGACGGACGGCTTGTGGAATTTAAGTTGTTCGAGATCACTTAGGTAAGGGGCAGATCACTTATGTAAGGTATTCCAAAAGCAGGGGTGGGAAACCTGTGGTCCTCCAAATGTTGCTGAACTTCCACCACCCCCAGACAGCATGTTCAGTAGAAATTATGGGAGTTATAATTCAACCACATCTGGAAGACCCCAGGTTCCACCCTAGCCCTGCTTTTTTCAAAGGAGCTGCCTTCATTCCCGAGCATTGCAATCCCATGATCAATGTTGCTTGTTTCAAACGCTACAATATTAAAGTGCCCTTCATTTCTGAACTGCTTAGTTAGCAGAACTCAGGTATTCACAGGAGTGACTGAATGGTAGAACAGTCCCTCAGAATATATATATATTTAAGGGTGTGTGTACAAAATGCAATTATAGACAACTGCAAACTTGTTTAATTTTTACATATGACAACTCACAGCCTGTGGTCTAATAACTTGGCAAGTTTCTCCCACAGAGACGGACTGTTTGCTCCCTGCCCACACTTCACAGTTGGATTACTGGCTGCCTCTGAATCTTCCCACCACCTCCACTCTCCAAAGACAAAAACAAGAGCTGCTAAGAGGAAACAGATCCACTAAGTCTCCATTGACCATTTAGTCAGATTTCCCTTCCATTGCCTGAGTTTGAACTCAGCCTTGTCTCAGCCTGGCTGAGATTTTAGATCCTGCTCCCTTACATTAAGAGCTTCTCAACAGGAACCCTACTGGATCAGGCTGAGGGTCCTTCTAATTAAGCATCCGATTTCTAACAGAAACCAGCCTGATACCTGTAGGAAGCATTCAAGCGGGTATGAAAGCAACATCCCTCCCTGTTTTATTTCCTGGTGCTTAATGATAGACTACGTCTGAATACGAAGGTTCCGTTTAGCAATCAGAATTAATAGTCGCCAATAGACAAATGGCCCCATTTGGTGCAGAGCTGTCATTTCGAAATGTATATACTGGTTACTTAGAATTTGTTTTCTATGAATACTTGAGTGGTTGTCTGTTTCCTCTGTTTACCACTTCTGTACTTTTGAGAAAAACTGGCAAAGCCACTTTTGGAAAGTGCTACATAAGTGTTCAGTTTCATGACTCCTGCAGATGTAAAGAAGAAACCTAGGCCTTAATCCCTTCACATTGCTGTGAGAAAATGTTTAAAATAGGAGGTTAAAAAGAATCACTTTATAGGAAGCGTTTATGCATGCTGTTCGAGAAAATGCACTTGTTGTCTCCTGATTCTTTTTAAGGTAAAGATTATTCTTTTTTAAAAAATGTCAGTACAGTGGTACCTTGGTTCTCAAACAGCTTAGTTATCGAACAAATCAGCTCGTGTTCCTGTTTGCGAAAGTTTTTCAGAAGCTGAACATCCGACGCGGCTTCGGCTTGAGTGCAGGAAGCTCCTGCAGCCAAACGGAAACCACACCTTGGTTTTCAAACGCACCTTGGATTCCCAGAATGGATTAAGTTCAAGAACCAAGATACCACTGTACACTGCTTGCATTGTGTAATTAGTAAAACCTACTTGAAACTTGTTTTAAACAGATCTACTTAAAGTCTTCATTGTAATTTGATGTTTTTAATGATATTTTTAGGGATATCTTTGTGAATTTTGTTCTTATATGTTGTATTCCACATGTATTCCACATTTTAAATGAAAGTGTGGATTATTCATTCATAAATTAAAAAAAAACACCAACTGTTTTGTTTTAAAAATAAAAATAAAAACCTTTCTAGCATATGATAAGCAAAACTGCCAATATTTGTTGACTTTCTTAACTATAATAATTCCAGGTCATGCTTATTTTCTGGCCTGACTCCTTCTCACTCTTCACTACAGACCATTTAAAGCACATTCAATGCAAATGTAAAGTAAATAGCTTCCCCCAAAGAATACTGGGAACTGGAATTTGCTAAGAGACTTTAGCTCTATGAGGGGTAAACTACTATTCCTAGGATTCTTTTGGGAAAGCCATGTGCTTTAAATGTGCAATGGATGTGTTGTAAATCTATGGTGTCAATCTACACAAAGTCCCTTTGCTGAGACAGAACTGAATCTTATAATAACTCATTTTATCTCTTCATTCAGGTGCATGGGTGTAGCCGGGGGCAGGTTTTATGTTGTGGGGGGCAGAACTGAGCTATCTGTGATGCGCTTGGTCAGTTATTTAAGTATTTTTTATTAATTTACTTGATTTTGGGGGGACAGTTGCCCCCCTGCCCCCCCTTGGCTACACCCAGGTTTGTGTGGCTGTGGGTATTTGTGGCTGAAGATAGAAAACAGCACATCCGTCACCCTGAATGTTCATATTGATTTCTAACTGCAGTTTTATCACTTCTTTTATTCGTTACTTTGAATTCTATGGAATTGCAATTGTTACAACGGTCAGAACAATCATTACGTGGTCTACCCAGACCCTCAGCAATTTTCAAATTGTCCATGGGGGAAAACATCTGGGAGCAATTGAACTAGGTGGTTAACTTTACGACAGTTACTTTAAATACAAATGTTTACAATATTTGGTTACTGTCATTTTAAATGGTACATCAAATACAAAAGAGGGCTGCTGCAACTAAGAGGATAGTTATGTGACTTTCAGTTCCTTTCCCTTATAATAGAGGAGGGGGGCTTTTTTTTGGCTCCATGGGCCAGATCCTTATTAAGATCAGTTTCCTTTCCTTCTTGCTTTTCCATCTAAAAATGTTTCTGTGCCTGAAAAACTGACTTAATAAAAATAATCTATACAAAAGAGTACCAAAAAAATCATTTTTCATGTGATCAGGGCAGAAGGGCAGAAATCTGTTGCGTGGTTTTTCTTTGATTACTGACGGAATTATGTAACACAATGGACATGAATGGGTATGTATGTATAAATAATAGCTTGTAGACCACCTCCCAGTCGCAGCTGCCTGGAACACTCCCTTGACTATTTCCCAACATTCCATACTAACAATTATTATTATTTATGTTGAAATACTGCATGACGTATTTTGCCTCCCACCCCAATCCTCACATTTTTCCTAACATGAAGAACCAAAGGAAGAATGGGGCAAAGGCAATAGATGAAAATCCAGCAAGTTACCCACAATGGAATCCAACCAAAAGCAAGAGAAAGAGGATTAAGTTGTTCTGACTAAGTTCAGTATCTTTTATTTCATTGGCATTTAATCATGACTAACTTTTACTGGATTGTGCCCAGGGAAGAGTAAAATCAGTTAAAAGGAGATGACAGACTAAGAGCCAAGAAGATCAATCATAGGACAGAAATCCCAGGTGATCCCATAAAGGACATCTTTCTCCTTAATATTAGTTTCCTAGTTTCCGTAGATATTTTTTTATGACT